CTACTTAGTTTAGGATAGTGTTTGTCATTATTGATCACCACTCACCCGCATTCAAACAACTCATAGAAAACAAATATGTTGATATGTTGTTCCAAACAAGTTTTTTTTTAACTCTAAACTACCAAAAACTTTCATTTTGAGGCGCGAAATGAACGCTTTTGGGCGTGCCAATGAACGCTTTTGGGCGTGGCACCAAAAAAAAAAGTCTGCCTCCGGCGGCGCCTGTGACGAGCTACCACCACCGGCACCTACGTAAGGGTGCTATACATATATCTCTATGGGGCGGCGCAATTATTCTTTCCACGCGGGCGGCCGATACTCTAGGATCGGCCCTGATAACTTTTTTTCTATTACAGATAGAAAGCTGAAACTTTCACTGAATTTTATCCCAACCAAGGGTCTACAGTCCCTGAAAATTTCAGCTCATTTGCACTTATAGTTCCTGAGATAAAATCGTGTTAAGCAATTTGTGGTGATTTATCAATTTTTCTGAGTGCCCTTTTTCATAGATTTCGGCTTCAAATCTGAGAATAATTTAGTGTATGGAGTTTGGGGTATGTTGATTGACCATTAGGATACAAAATCTCGACAAAAAAAAATTTGAAATTTCATCGTTTTAAGCTGGATTTATACAGCAAATAAAATAAAATAAGATAACATAAGATAAAATAACAAATACACGAACAAATACATATCTAATGCATTTCTTATTTTATTTCTTATTTTCTGTATAAACACTTTAAGCGTATCTCATAAGGTTAACTGTTATTTCTTATTTCTTATTTTATCTTATTTTATTTTATTTGCTGTATAAATCCAGCTTTAGTAAGAAGGTTTATGATTTAGATTTTGGAAAACTTTGAAAGGTCATAACTTTTTTTAGGAACGCCAAACTACAAATCGATGATAAGTTGTCGATATACAAGGGATGCTTAGAACCTCCTGGCAAATTCTCAAATTATCACATTTTAGAGATTGGAATTACCAACCAAAAAAGAGAATAATGGAGGGGATTAGGATAAGACAGGTATTCTTTTGATCTGAACAAACTGATAGTAATCACATCAGGTTTGTTTATAAGGCGTCAAAAAAACAATCAGGGCCAATGAAATCGTGATAAAATCAGATGACAATTGTTTGAAACAAACCTGAAGTGATTTCAATCAGTTTGTTCAGATCGAAAGAAAACCTGGAATGAATACATTTTGCCAATTTTTCCACCCCTTGTATCAATGCTCAATACAAAATTTTTATTAATGACTTCCTCTATCTGAAGAATCAACGAGATGTTTTCCTTGAGGTTCTCTTTAGTTATCAAACTTGCATAAAATTGCCTTAAGTATGCGTCTCTCAATTGAATTTTGATTGAAAATGATCTTCTTAAAACTGTTCTAGCTCAACTTCAAATTAGAAATCGGAGTCTACTTATCTAGTTTCAGCTTCAGAAATTTCGAGAATAGAACTTTTAAGTTGTTCCAGTTCAAGTTTCAACCTTAGAATATCGAATCATAAGATTTTTTCGAGCTTATTCCATCGAGTTCAACAATAATCAGCTTTTCAAACTGCTCCTGGTTCAGCTTAATTTCTAAAATGGTCGTCACAACACAAGGGGCAACTCACCTAGGAATTTTTTTCAAAATTGTAAATAATTTAGAGGAGTTTGTGTAGAACTTGAAGGAATTTGTGGAGAATTTGGAGAAACTTGTTTTGCACAAAGACCCCGCAATATTTAAATGGAAATTGGTTACCCGTGATATTTGGATGAAATTTAAATATGTTATTGGGGATGCCGTAAGCAACATTTTTTACCATGGGCACAACCCTGTATATATGACAGGTGAGGCGTGGTTAGCTGTCAAATATTGGAATCCCTTATCCAAAAGCAGAGTAACTATGGCAGATTTTGATGAACAAAAAATCTATTTCTACTAAGTCGACCAAGTTAAGTCGAAAAATGTCAACCATTTTGACACCTGCCAAAACCCTGTCAAACGGCGGCACTCATCTTTTCCAGTTTTCAATATTTCATGATGTCATTTGACACTTTTAACTTGTATGTAAATTCTGAATTCAAAAATTGAAAAAAAAAAAACAGAACTGTCAAAACCTGTCATTTGTTTTAGTAGAAAAAAATACTCTAATCTGATTCTTTTTTGTTTCAAGGTAGTTTATTGGTGATAAAACATTAAACAAAGTTCATGCATGTCACATTTTGACAAACTGTCAGAATCTGTTTTTGCTTTTTGGTTCATATTGAGTTTGTTTGCTTAGTGAAGTTCTACAACTACCTATAATGATAGAATAATACAATAATACAATAGAACTAAACCTTCACTAAGCAAACAAACTCAATCAGTGTTGCCAGATCTCACGATTATTCGTAAGATTACACGATTTTGGTCAGAATTTCAAGATCTCACGAATGAGGTAGCAAATCTCACGAATTCTTTCTGTAGTAATACAAATCAGTAATCAAATATAATGTAATCGGAAATAATCGAAATAAAAATCTACTATACAATATTTAGTTATGTTACGCCACTCCTGGTACATGCGCGCTCAATAACACTTTACCTAATAGCACGGCATATACAAAAACAATCAGCAGGCTAACTTGAGCTTTGTATCCCAAAATGGCGGCGTGCGCAGATGAGATGGGCGTTAAATCTCATTGTTTTGCCATTTAAAGATAGGCTGTATACTCGAATGGCGGCGTGCGCAAAAGAGATGCGCGTGAGAGTTAACCTGCTGTTTGTTTTTATATATCCTGTGCTAAATGGACTGCTTATTGAGCTGAAAGTGTCTGCGAAGTCCACGAGACCCCACTATTTGTGACGTCAGCTGCAGACCTCAACTCTTGGCAGAAAATGCATTATCCGATTCCAAAAAAACGAATTCATAAACGTTGAAATCGCCTTTTCCTAATTTAAAACTCCCAATAAAATTAACTCACAAGCACAGCCTGAATCGCAAGCCATCCATCGAGGTCTGCGAGTGACGTTACTACTATCAGTTGCTGATAGTAGTGACGTCACTCGCAGACCAGCTGCCGACTCGAGAATTGGCGAACGTACGCTTTTTTAGGATAAGCAATCCTGCGGATAATGAAAACGAGGTTCAGCTCTCAGAAACACCTGCTAAAAAGCGGAAAAAACAAGGATACAAGATTTAATAATAATTAGTCTGTTCGCACAGCAATCACAAACCAGTCAGAGCGAACTTCATTGGTTGAAAACAATCAGAAACAGTCAGAAAACTAGTTTCAACCAATGAAATTCGCTCTGACTGGTTTGTAATTTCTCTGCGAACAGACCTAAAATTTCAATATCTTATGGATGTAAAATCATGTCTACTCTATCAAAAATCTATAGAAGAACATTGTGCATTCTTTTCTTACAAGCAATTTTAGGTCTCACGATTTCTCACGATTTTTCTTTATCGATTCTCACGAATTTTTTTTATTTCATCTGGCAACACTGAACTCAATATGAACCAAAAATCTATTATTTAGACCTTAGATTATTTAGACTATCCAAAACACGTGACTTTGACAAGCAAACAAAGAGTTTGTGTGCCTCTTGGCGGACATTTTAATTTAGGTTTGACAGCACCTTGGTTAAGCCTAGTACTCATAACAACGAATGCGAAATTCACTCTTTTTAAACGCTTCGACAATTTGACGTAAAATGCGTGAATCAAACGTCAAGCTGTCAAAGCAATGTCAAAAAAAAGCGAATTTCGCGGTTATGAGTACGAGGCTCTAGTTGCCTATCCAAAACACATGACTTTGACAAGAAAACAAAGTGTTTGTGTCAATGTTTGTGTGCCTCTTGGCGGACATTTTTATTTAAGTTTGACAGCATCTTGGATAGTCTAATTAACAGATTCTGACAGTTGTCAAAATGTGACATGCATGAACCATAGCATATACAAAAACAATCAGCAGGCGTCACTAGTGGCCATTTTGGGATACGAAACAGGGCCTGATTAACGATAATTTAGGTTTTTTCTTTCCTGTCACAGAGTCGTATTGGCTTTAAATAAACTAATTTTATATTTCTTACATGTAATAATATTTATAATTACTAATTTATTATTATTATTAAATATACAAGAATGATAACTAATAACACCATAAATGACAACACGAATATACTAAAATCACTTCGGAAATCATAACTAATATTCCGCTCTACACCGCACGTCTATGACCTCCGTCAGAAATAAACAAATAAAATAAAATTTCGGAGCCCCTGCCGTTTAATGACAGGATGGTATCCCCTAATGGCAGCGTGCGCAGAAAAGATGCGCGTGAGAGTTACCTGCTGATTGTTTTTGTATATGCTGTGCATGAACTTTGTTTAATGTTTTATCACCGCTAAACTACCTTGAAACAAAAAAGAACCAGATTAGAGTATTTTTTCTATTGAAACAAATGACAGGTTTTGACAGTTCTGTCATTTTTTTTTTCAATTTTTGAATTCAGAATTTACATACAAGTTAAAAATGTCAAATGACATCATAAAATATTGAAAACGGGAAAAGATGAGTGCTGCCGTTTGGCAGGGTTTTGACAGGTGTCAAAATGGTTGACATTTTTCGACTTGACTTGGTTCACTTAGTAGACATCGATACTTCGATCATCAAAATCTGCCATAGTCACTCTTCTTTTGGATATAAGATTCCAATATTTGACAGCTAACCACGCCTCACCTGTCATATGTATATACAGGGTTGTGCCTATGGTAAAAAATGTTGCTTACGGCATCCCCAATGACATATTTAAATTTCATCCAAATATCACGGGTAACCAATTTCCATTTAAATATTGCGGGGTCCTTTGGTGTCCAACAAATGAGTCCAATAATCCGCAAAACGAAAGCGAACATTATTATTCAATTGCCCAAGAAGCAAAACCGTGTCTAATTATTAAGATTGCACCAATTATGAAATTAATAATTAAAAATAGAAAGGATTTCTTTTTAATGTCAAATACATACCTGAAGCAATTCAGCATGCAGTGGAAAAAAACGGCTTCATCTGGAACAAAAATTAAAACAATTTAGTTTATTTTTTCATTATCTTTAGAGGTGCTTTTTCATAATTGAAAACTTAAAAGACAATCCTGTTTTCATTAAAACAGAGATTAGTAAAGGTTTACGACGCAGCTGGTATAAACTTGCATCAGGCACGTTTGTCACGTAATCTCGAGTCTCATATACCTGTCCCTGGAATTTTCAATTTAATACTTAAAACTGCGCAAATATTCTAATGTCCTAAACAAATCAAACACGAGAGACGAGACGGAAAATGAGCGGTTCATTGGGGCACATGCTCCTCCTTTTTCCAAACAAAGTATATACATCCGACGTTGTCGAGACGGTCAATGTACCCCAACGTAGTCTGCACAGGGGGCAACCTCAAATCGGAATCGGCGAAATTAGCACTAGAGGAAGCATGAGAAAGGATTGCGATTATGAGGGGATAATAAACCCTAACTTGAATGATTATGATTTTAACGTACACTTAAGAGAATATTAATCACTTCACATTTCTTACTAATCCAAGAGATTCACAAAGTAAATGTTTCTTTGTAAGTCAACAATACAAGTCTAACACCTCACAAAGTACCTATCAGAATTCTTCTTTGGATTTGCCAGCAATAGTTTTCAGTTCGATTTTAAAAGAAAATGCTGTCCTTGTACTGATTTTGTCCAATAGAATAATGAGCCACTTAACTATGAATTTCGTGTTTCGATTGCGACCTAATTTCCAAAGTTGAAAATCGAAGTGACATTTTCTTGAATTTATGCATAGCAGTATCATGAAATAATAACAGTTTATTAATTATAGTTTATCAAAATCAAAATTTACAAAATCATAAACATGTTGTTCTCTCAAAATTATATCTTCATCCCAATAGAAATCCAAAATTGTCCTATCTGAAATTGTATCGTTTTCAATTTCTCTCAGCAGTTTACGTTTTTTGTTCAAATCCTCCAAAGTCTTGTAGCACTGTTTCAAAGATTCTTCGCTGCACTGGTTTGATCGTATCAATTTCCAAGCTTTGTCGAATTTTTCCTGGCAAACATCCTTCAAATATTGATGGTTTTCGGTTATAAAAAGAGCAGCTAAATCAAGTAAAGTTTCCATTTGAGGTTTTACAGGTTCAGGATGATTCCTTTTGCGACGTCCAATTCTAGGCTTGAGAAAAATATGTTTTTCAGGTTTTTTCTCAAATACATTATTGTCACAAGCTGAAGTACTTGGACCACTTAATATACAATCCTCAAGTTCGGGTTTGATGGTTTCCTCCAAACAACTATGATGAATCTTCTCCAACGATTTCATTTTTTCAATAAACTTGTTATCGTCAGATTCTGCAATATCCAAAGGCATGTCGAGCAAAGTGAGCAAATAAATCAAGACTTTGTTGGGGATTTCTTTGCCCAGTAACGAGCAAATTGTTTTCAGCGTTTTTTCATAGTTTACTTTTTTGCGGTCTTTGTTGTAGTCGTAGATCAGCTTGAATGTTTCGTCGATGATGGCCCGGCGATCGTGGAGTCTTTTTTCAAGAAATAGGGTAAGTAAAGCTCTGGAATCTGCCATTATGAAAATTTTCATAAAGTTATGGGACACAAAATTATGAAAACTGACAATGTCACATTTGACAGTGATGGCTTGATCTTGATCTTTAAGCTTAGTTCATATACTTGCGAATCGCGAAAAGCGAACAATGACTCTATTGGTTGATATGTCAAGCGGCGGGAAGCCAATTCAACCAATAGGATCATTATTCGTTTTTCACAATTCGTAAGTATACGTGAACTAAAACCAATTTTTCCATGAATTTTCTCTCTTAATTTATAAATTTTTGTCTAAAATCTGTTTTTTTTTTTAAAGATAAACGTCAGAATGACATTATGTTGGCAATACAATGTAAAATTGTCAAAGCTTTCAAATTTTTTATGTCGAAAAGGCTTGTGTTGCCAACATAGTTACTAAATTTTTGACTTGGGGAATTATCTTTAAAAAAAAAAACACGCTTTATTCCTCTTGATTTCCAAAGGAGGCATTACACGGCGCGTGGAACGGCGCGCCTGGCGCGTGAACTGGCACTCCACACGCCGTGTGAAGGGTCTGGCGCGGCAAATTTCGCGCCGCGCGTCTGTTCCCGTCGATAAGCGGTAAATTTGACACTCTCCAAAGGAAACCCGCCGCGCGTGTTGGAGCGACTCGGGGAATACAGTCACACGGCGCGTGGAGCGAACGGGAGCGGGAAGTTCACCAATGATTTTTTTTAAAAAGTAAATCCTGATATTACTAAAACGAAGATGTTATGGGAGAAGGCCTCAGCACGCAATGCGCGAACTTTCATCGAGGGGCGCGAACTTGTCAATTCACAGGCCGTCTGACTGCAACCATACTCCACTCGCTTGGCTTGCCAGTTCACATTCCACGCGCCAGGCGCGCCACTCCACACGTCGTGTAATGCCCCCTTAAGAAATTCAGGGAAAATTTGTAGACGACGTTACTTGAGATCAATTAAGTTGGAGCAAGTAGTCGGGTGATCATTTCAGAAATGAGAAATTGAGATGCTTGAAGACTTATTCAATGGATTGATTATTCCCGGCTCTTGATTTGAATCTTGATTATTTTTGCAAATGAATTCTGTAATCTTGTAGTTTCTCATCAACATAAAAGGGATGAATTACATCGAAAAGTTGATTTATGATAGCAAATATCTAAAGGCGTTGCTACATTGAATGATGAGGCAGAAGAAATCCAACGAAACTGCAATCGTCAAATAAATCAACTTCTCAAAACGATTGAAGACCTACGTGTAAGACTTTCAAAGGCTAATAATGTCAGGTTGAGTCTGGAAAAAAAGTATGAGCGACTGCAAAAAGGAACTGCAAGCGATGCACACCTGCAGTTTAACTAGTGCGTGAAGTATATTTGTCCAAATCTATTTTTTTAACATATTTGATTGGTAGTTTGGGTTAGTTGCAATACGTGCGTAGAGCTCCTTTTTTCACTCATGTGTTTGTCAAAATTCACATTCGTGAAGAAAGGTTCACTTTACCCACTTGTTGCATAAATAGCTATTTCGGCGAAGTCCGGATTTTGTCCAAATTTCTTGACTACTTTGTCCTGGATCTTGACTACTTTGTCCTGGATTCCAAAAAACCTTTAGGAAAACTCTAAAAATAAAGCTTGTTTTGAATTGAATTGAAAAAAAAAAATGAAAAATTGATTAATTGAGTGATTATTATCGGCTCTTGATTATAAAAGTTTCAAAAATCATCTTTGAAGGTTCCTGAAAAATATTTTGAGCCATTCGAGCAACTTGAAATTTTCAGGATTTGTCAAATGAAGTTTTTTCACAATGCAAAACAAGTTGGAAGTTGATATGAAATTTACAACCAAAGTTACGAATTATTTTTCTCATTGATACCTGAGAAAAACATAAAAATCCTATAAAATCACCTTTGTAGGTTCCTGAAAAATACTTTGAACCATCCCAGCAACTTAAAACTTTCAGGATTTGTTAAATGAAGTTTTTAAATGATACAAAACAAGTTGGAAGTTGATATAAAAGTCAGAACTGAGGTTACAAATTTTTTACTTATTGATATTTGAGAAAATGAATATTCTTGTAAAATAATCTTTGAAGGTTCCTAAAAACCACATTGAGCCATCCCAGCAACTTGAAATTTTCAGGATTTGTTAATTGAAATTTTTTCAAGATACAAAACAAGTTGGAAGTTTATATGAAACTCATGCTGAGGGGCCCCCACACAACCAGATTCTAAAGGGACCGATAAAAACAAATAAAAAAAAATAAATTCATAGATAGATATAAAAAAAAAAACGAAAATTAAATTTTGAAAGAGACGAGAGACGGCAACGTTGTATACCAGGATGCCTATTCTTGAAACCAGGGAACAGCGTTCTCACAAGAAAAAACGATTGCTCTGTCTTTGTCAGTGTTATGGAAATAGAAATATGGGCAACTAAGACAGAACGCTTATCTCCTGTTTCGACAATAAAGACCCTGTAGGAAATCTAGGGCTGGAATCCTGACAAGTAGAATTCCACTTTCATGACGTCATTCGCGACATATTTATCGCGGACAGTACAGGCGATGATGACAATTGTTATTGTTCGTCGATTTTAATCTGATACTCGGACGGAAGGTGAGCTGGTGGCTCCCTACATTAGAACGCCAATGGTTACCTGACGTCACACCTGTTTTTGCCATATGAAACACCCCCTCGCGCCTCATACCGCAAGTATCAGTTAAAAATCGACAAACAATAGGCAGCCTGACGACATAAAAGAGAAATTCTAGTAGAATGTCGTGATCCCAGCCCTGATGTACTCGACGCGATAATGCGGCAACCGCGGACGCGTCGACTAAGGGCGAATCCCCACGGGCGTAATTAGCGCAATCGGCGTGAACGTCAATTCTACGCCAATTTTGACGTAACAACCCGCATGCATTAAAACCACAACAAAAACATTTTCTAACACAAATATCTTGTTTATTTTTTGCCAGGTTGTAATGAGAATTTACTTATTTGTTGTTGTTGTAGTCCTTTTCCTTTGATTTTCTGTGATTGTTCTATCATAGGTGAGTTCGGCTTGGCAACTCTTTTGACTCCTTTGACACTTTTCACTGCAAAATCGTTCGGGTCAGGCCACTGGGAGCAAATAGTGAAAGCTCCACATCGTTTTTGTCCAGCCAAGTAGAGTGAAAATAATTAACGGGCCCTGGCTCCACCTCGAGAGGTGAAGCTCGCGACGCGAGCATGCGCACCTCCTATATTTCAAAAGGCGATAAAATTTAGAGTTTCAATAATTCACTATCCTAATGATCTTAACCTAAAGAATTCAAAGAAGATTTTTTTTGCTAAGGGCTTGGTTGCCTCCTGAGGCTCCTGGTAGAAAAATGGCATCGTTCCCCAAAATATCCGGAAAAACACATGTTCCGGTTTGTGATGGGGATAAGCATCGGGGGCCGAGGCATTTCTTCATTGGTCGCGGCTCGCCTTGGTCCAGATGCGTTCGACTAACCATTTTACTCTTTTCCCTCTATGATCAGGTTACTATGAAACTGCTCTTTATCCACTCCAACTCCGTTCTGCCAAGCCGAACTCACCTCATATATTACGTCACAACTTTGCCACGATTACGCCGAAAAGTTCAACAAAACCCAACTTTTTGCCGTAGCGGCAGCGTAATGTCAAAAATTCAAGGTGGCTGCATTACCGCCATTAAAATCGTACAAATTAAGGGGACGTTCCGTAAGTTAACCAAGATTCTTGGTTTTTCCGGTAAACGTTCCGTAACCTAAGCACTCCTGAAATCTGGTTAGGTTATGAAACGCGGTTTCACACATAAACCGCATATTCAGGAACCAGAACCATAAACGAACCGCTCCATACCAATCGGTAACTCTGGTTAAGATACGGAACGCCGCCTTAATCACATGATTAGTTACGTCATGTCATGCTTACGTCAATTACGCTCGTGGGTTCTCGCCCTAAGGGCGGGTATTATAAAACTGCTTTGACAGTTAACTTGAAGTTAACTTTTTGAATTACATGTAATTTCAGAAGTTAACTCTCAAAGTAGTTTTATAATACCCACCCTTAAGGGGGCAACATCGCTCCCATGCACACGATACAAAATACAGAAATCGGTTTTAGACTACAAAAAAAAAACCGCACATCAGAATTTGCTGAAATTTGGCATAAACATTCCTTGATCGATTATCTAGAGAATAGTGCAGTTAGATTTTCCATATTTCGAATTTTTTTTTGGCCTATATTGTGAAAATGAACTATTTCCCAAAAATAGAAAAATCCACGGTAAAAATTGAAAAAATAAGGGCACTATTCTCTAGATAATCGATCAAAGAATGTTTATGCCAAATTTCAGCAAATTCTGGTGTGCCGTTTTTTTTTGTAGTGTAAAACCGATTTTGGAATAAAATTACAGATATTTTGGCAAATATGGTTCAGGCTTTTTTTCGAAGATGGCGCCACCAGTCAATTCGTGATGTCATAATTAGGCGTTTTCGAAAACCCCGAACCGTTGGAGCAGCAGCTGATGTAGGTTGTTCAGCGTTTCCAAAAAAGCCTATTGACAACAGAACCTCTTTCTCCCCTTGTGTATTTGTTTTGTTTTTTATTATTGGTTTATAAAATAATAGGCACAAAGCATGCTGTGCCATTAGTTTCCATTGAAAATAAATAAAGTATCTATTTTACGTACCTAGGTATACATAAAAAAATTGGATCGTATTTTGTAGGACAAAATGTCTTTGAAAAAATGAAAAGCTTCAATAATAATTATTAAAATTTATTTATAAAAGGTGGAAAGTGCTAAAATTAGAGATTTTCCTTTGTGTTCTTGCATATTAGTGCAATAATAATATCCACCAATGCAGTATAGCATTCAATTTAGGTATCTGGCGATTTGCATTTCTTTTACTAGCTCTTGGATCTTCTACCAATATCTGAAATTGTGTTAGACTCCTGGTAAGACTATTTTTTTATTATTCCTCCGAGTATTCCTCTATTTGTAAACCCATTCATGTG